GTATATATATATATATATATATATATATATGTGTGTGTGTGTGTGTGTGTGTGTGTGTGTGTGTGATTAGCAAGGAAAAAATTGAATATAAAAAAAAAATGATGACTCATTGATCCCTGAAAAAAGAAAAATAAATGAGGAAGAGAACAACCCTTTTTTAACACCAAGATTTTCCATGATTCCTTGCTGACATATTGGGTAAAGACAAATGCACCGGTTGTAAAAGAAGGTCGCTTAGGTCATGCTTACGAAAGAGTTCTTTAACCTACAGCTCGAAAGGGATGTTGGAACGTTGGAATCTCTCGGACACGGATAGAAAACAAGAAAGAACGGACTCTAATGAGACTCCCACCACTGACCACCAGCCTGGGAAAGTGAGAGAAATATGCATCGAGGAGGGGAATTGGGTGGTCAGTAAGGTGCTTTCTCTTCTTGAAAGAAACACAAGTGATCTGGTCCTGAACTAAAAAAGGAAAATAATGTTCAATGCTCCCGAAAAAGAAAAATAAATGTCCCATTTTTTTTGGCATAATTTTTTTTTTTATAAAACATTGTGCGAAAGTCACAGCACAACAATAAACAAGAATATTTATTTTTTTATCATAAAAAAAAGATTCAATGAAAATAGTTGCTTTTTTAAGATTTAGAAGTACATACGTTTTATGTCTTTCTCATATCCAAAAAAAATTCCAAGAAATTTATACGCCTATTTTTATACCTTTATCGTGAAGCTTTCATGCATTAATTTTTTATGGTGTAAAAAATATAAGAAAAGCTCAATACCAGTAATAGCTTAGAAAAGTTTATAATCAACAGTCATGTTTTGTTTTAAGAGTACCACACAGTATGTGTTAACATATATTTTCAACTGTTACATGCACATGAACAAACCAAGTGCAGCTCCCCCGGAGCCGGTATCTCCAGATCACAACTATTGCCGACCATCTACTCTTTTTTGTAAAAAGAATGATCCAATCGCAACAACTGCCCCTGTTACTGCAACTGTTAGTAATATCCGCCTATGCGATGAGCGTTGTGCCCGTGCCGGCCTTCTCTGAGCCCTTTCCCTCTCAGCAGTTCCCACATCCCTTCAAGTTTTATAGAAAAATCCCAGTAAGTCACAAATGACGATAGATTTAAGCAAGAAGATAAGACATTTAAACACAGACAACTAAGAGTAACTGCTTAGAAATGATAACCATCTCTGGACAGGATCTACAGCATGTGTAAAGATCATAACACTTCACAAGCCAAGCATTTCCAGTACTCTTAAACTTGTTACCGATCCATTGGGGGAAAAAACAACAGCATTCCTGACAGCATGATTGTTTTTTCGAAACTAAAAATATTACATGGTAGAAAACATCCACTCTGAGGATTCGATAATTTTGTGAATCTAGATTCTTGTTTAATTGCTTCCATCACAGGTAGGTTCTTATGCTATCTGAAACTGACTCCAGCTAGTAGAAATCCAAACCCCCAACAGTAATTTTTTTACGAGAATTGGAATTTGATACTACAAAATTGTGATTGTAAAGAAAGGAAACAAAAAAGAAAAGTTGTGGTCCATTTTGATCTTGACCAAGAGGATTAAATGATTTACTTCACACAATATTCAATCAAGTGTTCACAAAAGATTAAAACATGACAGATCTGTGTGAGATTGTGATAACCTAGGTTTAGTCACTTATTTAAAGTGGGTAAAAGGCTTAAATCGGCTCATAAGGATAAGATGCGTGTGCGATCTCCAAATAAGATTTAAGCATTTTGAACTATTAGTAGTTCAGCTGATCTAGTATTAGATATGGTGAAGAGCACAAAGTAGCAAAAAATTATCCATGGATGAGACTAGAGACATATCACAGCGTAGAGCCACCCACTACTGGGTTAGTTTCAAATGCACTATGGTAGGATTTAATTTGGGTTATATTGATCCTTGACAAGAACACTAAGCCCTCAAGTGAGAAGATTGTAATACCTAGATTTAGTCCCACATTGGAAGTAGGTAGAAAACTAGAATTAACTCATTAGAGCTTAATGGGTATACTACCATAAACTTAGGCCTATGTATTTTTGACTAGTGGTTCAAACTCTATGTTACTGTGTTAGTTATCCCATTGGCTGGATCAAAATAACAACGATGGCCAAAGTTGGTTTGTATCATACAATAAATAAATGTTAATTCATGAATCAAGAACTTGGCAATTGCTTGATGCATTCAACAAGTAGTTTTTTATATTTAACTAGCTTTACTTGAAATCCGTCATGTCAGATTTATGCTTGTAAAAAATTTAATTAGCATAATTTAAAATTTTCAAGTTCACTTGAGAAAATACCCAAATTGGTTATATTAAATGCACAAAACAATAATTTTTCAACAATTTTTATGCCCATGGAGTCACTAAAAGGTTGTCATTGTATTTTATCAACAACATGTTGGTTTATTTGGCCACAATTTTTTGTTAGATGGACAGTCTAGATAATTAAAAAATGTTTGTTCTTGTTCATGGAAGACATGAAGGGGGCAACATTCAGAAAAAGGAATAGATAAGTTATTGCCTATTTCCTATTCTTTTTACTATCAATATTTTGCAATTCAATTTATTTTAATTCCATCATGATTCGTACCAAGGTTTTTAATCTCGTACCGTACCGGGTACCAGTGTACCAAGTGGTATGCCAAAATTCTAACGAGGAGATGTAGGTTGGTTCAACCACAGCGACCATCGGATGGGGGTTAGTTGACTTGACGCGGTTAGTCAGGACCCGTGACCCCCAAGCTACTATAAGACATGGGATCGACCCCATCCAACCCTTGGGCCTCCTCGATCCTCTCCATCACCTTCCGCGTCGACGTCGACCACTTGGTCGCCCTCCTCTGCCGCTATCGCATCCCTCCCGACGAGCTCTGTCGTCCTCCCACGCACCTGTCCGACCTCGAGACACACAACCCCATCCCTCGCCATTGCTTTCTCCTTTCCTCTCTCTCTCTCGTGCTCCTCTCATCACCTTTCGTGTTGACGCCCGCCGCTTGGTTGCCCTCCTCCGCCGCCCTCCCACGCACTTGTCCGGCCTCGAGATGCACAACCCCATCCCTCTCTCTCTCTCTCTCTCTCTCTCTCTCCTGCTCCTGCTCCTCTCTTAGGATCGAAATGTTGGGGTATGCATCCTGACTCCGAGATCCAAAAAAGAAGAATCGTACCGGTAGCGGGTGATCCACGTGCTGATAGGCTGGCAGACTGATACGTACTGCCCGTATCGGGCGGTACAATACAAAATTAAAAACATTGATTCATACAACGTGCTCTTTTTTAATACAATAGAATCCTAGATCTGTACCTAGAAATGTGTTCTTATTGTCATATAGAGATGAATTATTTGTTTAATCCACGATTTGATCAACAGAAATGGCTCTCCCTAATCTTTTTCTTTTCTGAACACCGAGGATTAACTTAAGCAAGTAGAGAAATCATCATGTTAGCTAATAACTACCTCATCATTGTAACTACCACCCTGCTGCAAGTGAGCTCATCCACTTCAGCTCTCCATTAAAGGAAGTTAGAGTACAATCATCCATGGCTAGCTTTATTGGGTTGCTATTTAGACAACTTTTTAGTAGGCCAAAGCATTGATTAGACTTTTAGCTTCCTTTAAATTAATTTTCATAGTTTTACATGTATCCTCTAATTATATAGATATTCTTTAAATTCAAGAAAAGCTCAAAACATACTAAACCGAAAGCATTATCAAATTCAAAAGTTTCAAGAAATCTACCAAATCTACATATTAGAAAAGAATAATACAATCTATATAACCACATAAAAAATAAAAACCAAAATGAAAATATAGAAAGAACTGGTTTTTCAAAGTCTACCTGGAAGGTTCTGCAGTACCAGCTGAGTTGCCATGAAATTGGATATCGTGGTATATTCTTTCACGCAAGCGAACATATTTGTGACATATGTCACAATACTCTGTTCGATTACCACATATTTCCTGAATTTGCAGACCAATAATACTATGTTATCTCATGGATATAAATGATTCTGACATTTATTACTGCAGGTTCCAATACATTACCTGATGTTTGAGGAGATCAACTGCAGGCAGTGGGAATTCACAATATTCACATGTGATAATCCTCTGGGGACATCTTTCACCTTTATGTAGAGACCAAAGTTCGCGTTCCACTTTCTCACTGCATAGTGAACAATCCAACTGTTCACACAAATTCACCAGAACCAAAATATTAGATGAGATGAATAGATTAGGATTAGTGGTGCGTGAGGAAGATAAGTGATTTGACTATTATTGATTTAATTGAAATATTGCCCTACACATAGCTCAATAATGGGAAACAATCAACGTAATTGGCTCTAAATATTTGGGAAATTATGATTTGTTGTTATAGTTGTTATTCATCATAGATCACATATATTGTATAAAGTATAAAATTTTTGTAATACATAGAAAATATAGTCATATAACTGTCTTGTCCATGTCATATCATGTCTGACTTCTGTAGAATTTGTCATGTCAGCATGTATCATGCCAAGTTAGTGTCTACCCTTTATTGGTCATAGAGAGAGCAACAATATTATTGATACTAGCCAAAGAGGCTAAATTCATGAAACTTATTTTGCTCTTTTTGGTGATCCATCCAATCTATCTCCCAAGTCTTGTGATGATAGAACTGATAAATGAGATGTAATCAGCATTTTGAGCTCTTTCAATTGAAAAGAAATATATAATATAAACAGATAAATATTTTTCCAGTTATTTTTGATTAAATATCTATTCAAGACAAATCCATTAGCAATTCTTTTACAGAACTATTTCTTCTTTCAAATTCTTCTAAAACATCTTCTGCTTAAAGTACATTAGTCATTCTTTCACGTTCAAATTTGAAAGTCTTCTTTGTATTCATTAATTGATAGAATGGACTTGGATACTCTGAATATTCTAAAACCTTTGAAATAAAAAAGAAAATGAATTGTCTAGAACTCCATCAATAATGATAATTGTAAAGCACAAAAATGTACCATGAGATCGACACATACCGGAGCATGACTTTCATTGTAATGGTCATCAGCATGTTTTCTCGGAATCATATCCCCACAAATTGCACATTTTTGAAGATTGCGAGAACAATGTGCATAATGCAAGTCAATATTTGATGTTGGAATGTCTCTTTGACTACATGCATAAGAGAATCATTAAGAGAAGCAGTTAAGCATATAAATACATTAAACTATTTAATTAACCAACATCAATGAAATAAAAAGGATAAGAGAGACCTTCCTTACAATTTTAGCTAAAGGATTGGTCATTGAAGCTAGTCATAGATAATCAAATTCTGCAGCTGTCTTTTCTAGATTTTTTTTTTCTTTTGCTATAGTTCTAGAATGATATATGAGACATCTACTTAAAGATAAGTAATGAACAACAATAAACATGAAACTTCTGCAAATCGTGAAGTAAAAGACAATCAGATTTATCAAAATCTTCATGCCAACCATTGTGACCCTTGTCAGTAAGCATGTACTGCACTGATAAAGTACTTATACTAGTCATAATTACATTCCAATGATGGTACATGACCCCAAATATTGATTACAAATACTTGTGGTACAGCAAGTGTTGTGCAATGCCATGAAGGTAACAGCTTGGGTTAATTAAATTGGCAAATAAACCCTTACTTGGCATCAACGTAGACCATGATATTTAAACGCATATGATATTTAAACGCATTCCTATATTGACAAGCATATGAAATCAAATACTGTCTCACAATCTACCAAATTTCAAATATTTATAGTTATTACATAGCACCCACCACGATTGACAAGCGCATCCAGTCAGTGTCATAAAAGTTGTGACACAGTATAATCCCACCAATATAAGTTTCAATTTATTAGTTTGAGAATTTATTAGTTAAATATTTAGAGCATAAGTTTGCTCATCGTACATATGCAAATAAATGATCATTCAAGTAACTCTCAACCCATACAGCTATACATATATTTTATCCATAATAACGATACTATCAGGATGCGTGATCAAACACTCAGTTTTAAATTTAGAAAGTTAAAAAACATCAAAAATCCTTGCAATCGTTAAGGGGTACTATTAGATACGTGCAAGTGGTGGACAGGTCAAACGTAGATACTATGCAATGCATAATTAATCATATCATGATGAACAGATTGGATGACATTCTTGCAATTGCTAGTTTCATCTGTGTTATATTTTATTTCTTACATCTGGAGCATTAAATATAGTAAACAATCTCTTTCTTGATAAACATATTAAGTATGCTGATGATGGGTTCATAATGTTGTTTCCAAGATGATGGTTATTTCATAAAACTTACCATAATTACTGATGGAATAAAATGAATAAAAGACCATCAGAAGAAGCAAATAAAATTCACAAGAAAAACTATGAACGCATTTTTAAACATCTTTGAATACTAAGGAAATATTGTAACGGACTTTATTTATAAACTTCAAATTTTTTCACTGCTATATTCCAGGAGAAACAATATTAAGACTCAAGTCTACAGTTCCAACGACTTTTAGATATTTACTTTACCTCCTTGATCTTAACTTTACAGAGAAATCAGTTGCTGAGCACACCATCTCTGCTAATAATTTATTATCTTTCTACAAAGAAGGGCAATAACAGGTAGAAAAAAAGTGAACACCAAGTACATTGGGAAGAAAAAAGGACCAATTGACTACGATTAGCCAACAACAGCACCAATCAGTTGCATTTCCAAAATACAAGTCTCTCATGGATTTGGCAATAAGAGACTTAAACAATCATGTAATGAGTGTCAACCCTTGAAGGAACACTCAGATGCCTATAAAAACAATTTATTAGGAAAATGAAAAATACTCTCTGGGAGGTGCCATCCATAAGGCTCTTGTTGGATTTGATAATAAGAGGCTTAATTGATAATGTTATGAGTGTCAAGCTTAGAAAGATGACCAAGAGGACGAAATAAGAAAGCTGGAGGGAAGAGAACCTACTATAAAGTCATTATACAGAAAACATACGAATACTGTCATGCAAATTGATGAAGAGACTATATGTCATGGATGGAAGTGCCAGTTTATACCAGCACAACATCTAGAACATGACATGTAGAGAGAATGTTGACAACGTATTGTATTGGGTCAAAACACGTGTCAATTTCCACTAACCCCATGTCACTTGTGTCATTCTAGACAGATCATGCCGACACCTTACCAACATACCCACACCATGGAACATAAAACCTAGTGGAGAAAAGAACATCAATCTAAGTGATCATCATCTTCTTTGCCAATGATAAGGAACACTCTTGACCATCATGCTACTTTGAAAACCATTATGGCCAAAGTTAAATCCAGTAATTTATGGAAAATTGTGGATGCTCAAAACAAGCTCAATCCTTTTAAACTGTAATGACTAGAGTAGGGCTTGTACATGTAATAAATCTCAACTCCCAAATCATTTTAGTTTGGACAAAAAGGGAATGGGTATGTCTATATCACACTTACACAATAAGTAGCAAGTCTAATTAAATTAATAGCAACTACATTTGCTTGCTAAATGTAGAAATTAAAAAAATTAGCTAGAACCGAAGCTCCAGTATCATTTGTTTTAGATCCATCACCTATATAGAAACAATTGTCAACCTCAATTTGCCAGAAGCATCTGAAAAAATTCATTTTATTAACATAAAAAACAATAATTTCTACAACTGCAATTATCTCCAAATCCCCTAATGGTTTTCACATGATCAATTGCTTGAGATGCAATATCAAGGGATCAGGTAAACCTAAGGAAAGTATCAAACTGGTCCAGCGTGCTTTCGTACATTATCGAATACACTTTAGGCAGAAAAACCAAGAGTCATTATCATCATCATCATAAAAAAAAGGAGCACGAGACAAAAGAACAGAAGAAAAGGATAAAGAAACAAAAAATCTTCCTTTTACGTAGAATACTACCAGGCTATAACCGGTGATCCGAAAGAAACAGGAAATACAAGAAGGATCAAAAAGCGACAACCAATCCTAAGATTTCATATAGAATTCCCAATCGATCGCATTAGGATCATCGCAGAAAGAAGACAAACCAGTGACTGCATGTAGAGGTGATCGACTCCGAGGTGATCTCCATCTGATTGATCGGGAAATCCACAAGCGACAAGAACGATCAGAAGAAAGGGGACAGAAAAATCAAAGAAATTAGAACTAAAAAAGGGGAAAAATAAATCAAATAACGAACAAAGGAGCAGCGAGGGTAGATACCTCCCCGACGCAATCGAGCGATCACCAATCGGAGAAGTTGAAGGCCAGCGGTCGCGGTGGCGGTGGCGGTGGCGAGGTGGACGGGTTTCTCCCCTCCGGTTTGTCCTCTTGCCTTTATGTACGTCTTGGGTGATACATACGATGGAAACTTTGCCGGTCTGCTTTGCCCGCAAATAAATCGTGTGTCAGAGGAGATGGCTCCAATGAACGGTTGAGATCGTTCTGTGGCGTGGCTGGTGCTCCCAACTGTGGTCGTTTCTAATAGTTCCGGTCGAACAATATACCAGGGTCCCCCGCTAATTATTCTACAGTTAGACAGCCACCTGCCACGCCTACCCACCCATCTCTTCCTGTCCTGTGTCACGAAATGCGACATATACGAATCCAACCCACATCTCAAGTATCACTATCTGTGAAGTGGGTCCCAAGCATGAGACATCTTGGCCATTTAAAATACTGGTATCTTTTGGGGTGGATAGAGAGGGAAGAAGAAACATAATGCTGCATGAATGCGTGGTATTTTCCCCATGTTTTATTTTTGGCAAAAATGTATGTCCATGGGAAGTATTATAAATGCAAAGAAGAGTAGGTAAAGTGCCGGCAAGAGTACATTACTCTTATAAAAATATAGTGTACGAAATCACAGAATATAAGTAATAACGAGATTTTTTATTTTATATTCATAAATTAAAAATCACATACTTAAAATTTGATCATAGGAGAAGAATTTATTTCCTAATAGGTGTATCTTAATAAGAAAATTATCTATGACCACAAAGATTGATTTGATGATGATGAAGATTGGGGAAAGACAACGGTATTTATGAATTTGATTTATATTTTAATTGATAAATATTTTATGAATATTTTTTTTTATATTATTTAACGGTATATTTTCGAAAATTTTTAATGGACATTTTAAAAAGTTTAGATGTGTGTAAGTTACAAAAGTACCCAAGTCCTTTATGAATTTCGGAAGTTATATAATTGTAGATTTTCGAAACAATTATGATGCATGATATATATACATTTTAGAATTTACAATGTGATTTTGGAAATTATTTAGTGGGATATTTTCAAATGAATTAAGATTTAAATTTTAATCATAATCAGTAAATTTTAATTAACAGATCTCATAAAAAAGTTCATGGCTTTTTATTGACAGACATTTCCTAAGATGGGTTTAACTAATTTAAAGCAAGTCAAGTATGTTTAATGTTCATGCTTCGTACTAATGTCATACCAAATTTAGAGGTATAGGTAGAAAAACTAAAATTTGCCCAATTCCAAAACTTATAAATGCTTCTTAATTCTATTTATTAATGTCCTTTGTAATGTATTATTGTATAAATGATTGACCTCAGGTAACTATATAATTTATCATGTTTAATAATCACTTAAACTGTGGTATGCTACATAAGCAAATAGAAGCAAGCTACTTAAGTTTATTACATGTCAAAATTTCTCTCTCAAGAAGATTCGAGGACTACACGTAGAGATTTCTATCACTGTAAGTTTATCTATGCAATAAGGCATAGAAAGAGACAACTTTGGTGCTACATCTGAGCCTCGTGGTTCTTCCTTTGAAGCCTACAGACCACATGCCGTGGCAGCATCAACTTGGATTAAGTAATATATCGGAGACACATATACTATAGAGAGATGACAACGCACCAACCGAACATGCGTCCCAAAGGAATTATTTCTTTATTAATGTACACCGACTATGTTTTTATTTTGGATCGATCATGATGGTTTATTATAAGGTTTGAGATCAAATCTTGCTTTCATTATTTATCTTAAAAAAAAAATAAACAAACTATAATTAGGTGTCCGACATTGTTTTTTTTTTAAGGAATGAACTTATATATGATATTAGATATGAGCTTTTTCTTATCCTCCTATGATGTCTCTTTCTTAATCAATGATGACTCTTGGATTGTATCCCATATTTATACTCAAAAGCAGAAAAATGATAATAAATTTCTGCATGTTGCAAATTTTGCAACATAGAACATGTCATATATATATATATATATATATATATATA